GCACTTCGTTAGGAGCCAACCGCCAGGTCTAGAGTATCAGTGTTCCAAGTCCCTGATGTTTATTAGTTGCTTAAGGTCGTCTACGCGTACTGGTTGGTTGTAGGACGTAACAATATGAGTTACACAAATCAGTGAATTTGTGTGGGCTGGGAAGCTATCCCGATGTAGTCGGCGACCAAAATTAGGTTCATACGCCATCTGTCTCCTCAGGATCCTGTGGCTCATGTGTATCATTGGTTCGGAAAGAGGTTTCCAGCTCCCCTAGATGAATCCCCTATACCCACCCACCGGGTTGAAGCAACGGACGTCAATTTTTAGGTACGGATATTGTTTTTGATGGAGTTTTGTTCTCTGAGCTGGATGGTATGCTCGTGGAGATTTCATCGTCCTTCTGAACATGATCAACACAAACTTCGGAAAGAAATGAAGTGTTTGATTTTCTCCACGTGTAGTTCACAGCTAGTGCTGTACACCTCTATGTTGATTATTTCTTATTGACCTTGCATCTGTCATTGTTTATTTCTTTGTATTGTAAATAACACCCCCACCGCCAGAAAGCAGTGAGTAGGAATTCCTTGGCATTGGCTACATACATGTGACCATATGATAGCATTTCGAGGGGCAGAGAGGGTTCTCCCCACTTTCGGCCATATGAGGGCACTTTGGGGCTAACATACCGAAGATATTAATAGGGACCTATCACTAGTAGGCAAGAAAAACCTTCAGTGTACCCAGAAAGTTAACGCATCATGTGATATCACTCATACAATCAAGAGTATATGAAGATTTTTAAAGCTCTAGGTTCACTTTCATTAAAACTGTATCAACCAAAACAATGGAAAGTTTATTTTTTTAAAAACTATCACCTTTGCTAAATCCTCGTTATATATGGATGTAAAGCCTCTCTAAATTCGTTCTAATTATTTATGTACAAACAAGCATGTACCGTTATTAAATATGAAAAACCTATTCTTTTGGCTTTTAGCCATCTATCATATTAATTCAACTAGTTTGAGTCGATAACTTGGCTCCCGACCGTTGCTGTCACCTTGACGTAGTGATCGGGCTTGTCTATCGTAATGAACCAATCGAGCTATACTGGCCGGAATAATCGTTCCTCGAGGTCCTACCATGCCAGACAGGTCTGTTGTTGACGATGAATTTTGGGTGAAATACTTAAAAAGGTAACAATCTTCATGAAATTGAAAATGTGATTATCTCTATGAAACTGGGCATGACCGGTAACATAGTTGGTTGAGTTGACACAAGTTATTATCAATTACTCAACCATAGCTGCAGCCTTGACGTGGTGGTTGGGCTTGGTTATCGTGATGACCCAACCGAGCAATATTGGCTGGAACATAAGTTCCTGTAGGTTCTACCATGCCAGGCAAGTCGATTGCAGAACGGTAAGACGAAAAGCAGCGACTCAAGGTCTGAGGGCGAAGTCGTACTGTAGACTGTAGAGGGGTGTGACAGCAGTAAGGTATTTCCCTCGGAAAACCAGCATCTGCAGCGATGCTGCCTTTTCACAAGGAAAGGAGTTGGAAAAGGTCGACCCTAAAAATGTCATACCTCACGGATTCCCGTCTCCGATGGTAAGGTCCTTTGAAGAACGCAGCTAAAGCATCAGAAATCCCCACAAAAAGGCCGTGCGTGACCAGCCTCAAGCAGTTGTCCCTTGGGCACCGCGGTCACGCTCCCACGTCGTTAAAACCAACACTAATCCAACTTCCTTTTCAGATCCCTCAAGAAATACCCTTCCACAGTGTGGACAGCCGGGAATTGATATTAGCCCTCATACCCGTAACTGCACACGAGACCAAGTTGTTCATATTCAAATCCTTCAATTGACTGACAACTCGGCTACACGAGCAGTTGTCACTCAATTACACTGTATCATTGCAAATCATTTAACGATCTTCATTCTGTTCATTTATGTGACAAGACCCAAACATTATTATTAATCATAAAATCCTCTCCAACAATAAAGAACTAGAAAACGCCCACTTAGTTATTTTTTCTCATTAATGAATCACATATTCGAACTATAATCAACCTGCTTGAAAGTTTTAGTATACTTCAGTGGATAATTCTGAATTGATATTTAGTCAAATAAGGTATACTTAGCTAATAAGTTGAATACCCAAACGTCGGAGTCTGCTACTGTGTACACTTCCTAGCCTCAACCGGCTACTTCTGCGAGAAGATTAGGATTGAGCATAAAGCTTTTATTGTCTGATTGGACTAAAATATATACACATCTCATTCAGAAATAAATATGTTTCCTCCATAAAATCATCCCAAAGTTTCAACTGATAGTATATGTTTATTTCCTCAGAAGGTTAGACTAAAACGTAGCCAATCAAAGCCTCTCAATCCTCATTGACTCAGAGTGCTAGCCAACATTACTATAAGGGTAATTGGGAGTTTTATCAGCTTATTTGCTTTATAACAGTGAAAAATATGGAGTATATTTCATCCGATTGCTCCTCAAGGGATTTGTTATGGTGGGCACTATCTTTATGTTTCAGTTAGGTATTGAATGAATGTCAATAAGTTTGTATCTAGTCACAAAAAGATGCCCAGGCTTCAGTCACTAATCAAGTTGCACACATTGGCATGTATAGTTATTAATAGACGAAACTATTTACGCGGTTATTGGATTGCGAATTCATCCTTTGCTTCGTCAGTCGTTTCTGACCAGTTAATTTATTTAGATAGGGAGTACAGACTCTTGTATACTCGACTGTGAGCTACATACAACTTCAGTTAAGTGAGGGCTAAAGATATGACGTGGCTGCCTAAACGGAAGTCGATGAAGCGGTGTTGGGACCTAAGATCCATCAGTCAAAAGTCAAGTATTTCAACTACTACACCTTCGAAAAGAAGTTATTTAGTTAACTGAAAATCAAGGTTTGCTACTTTCCTCATTTTTATTTAAATTTGTAATAGACATCTTTTTAAAGATAACACTGATTGCTTTAACTCCCGGGAATCCACCTTCTACCAGGAGATTCACTTAATAACTTAGAATATGCAAATGAAATAGTTCATTTTGGCGAAAACGTCTTCTAATCGCCTTAAGCAACAATACAAGCATATTTGGTATGGGTCTCTTTATCTTTGAATCCAAAATATTTTTCCAGGACAAACGTGCGTCATGGCGAAACTAAGAATAGGGAGTGAGGTAGTTGAGCGTGCGATGATTGTACGGATTTAGAAATCCCGTTTGGCTTTCGCTAACTTGAGTCACTTGTAGAGTAGACAAGATATCCGTTTACTAACTAAAGAACGAGTACACTATGCAGCAGTTCGTTCAGGCTTATTATAAGGCTATGAAACAAAGCTTTTAAAAATAGAGGATATACGTAGATTACTATTATTCGATCGTCGGTGTATTCAAACTATTGCTCACGTATTTTGGGACTAATGAGTTAGCAATTCTGATGTTAGGAGCAGAGTACTAGCTAAGTATGGCAAATCGATTGATGAAGTAATGAATCTTTATCAACTAAGATGATTATGACGTGTATTACGTATAACCATCCATCGACTGCCGCGATACACGATGATGATTGGTATACGAGTAGGTTGAAAAGAAGCTAGGAGGGTCAAACTAAGACAAGCAACCAGTCTATGATGAAAATGACTGTTGAACAGAGTCATGCATATAAGTAAGTGAAGATTAACTAATTAAAATTCATGTGAATATCATTACCAATAGTTAGTGATTTCGTTATACCTCGAAGAGAATCATGAATGGTAACTTTTGAGAACTATTTATGGACCAATGTGATATGCATATTTTATATTGCATAATTGTTAATTAACTAAACTATTCATATTCATGTTCCTCTTATTATAAGCTTTATTATGACCTATAGACTATTACTATGCGATTTACCGTTCTTGAGTTATCCCTAGTTCATTGATTACTGTTCCTCTTATTCACAACCACATTTGGCTAAATGACGTACAAATGTTATTTTATATTTTATGGTATGATGTGGTCAGTTTGATTAGTATATAAACTCAGTACATTTGAAATACAGTGATTCATACCACGGAGGCTGTTCTGGACTTAACTGGCTGAGCTAATCAGAAAGCAGGACCGTTACGTACTCTAGACTATTTATACGGTTTTCGTGTGTCACTATTCTAATCGATAATTCGCTACTCTCTGATGACGGTCTACTCACGTTATACGTTAACAAGGCATCCACTCGGACACAAGTTATAACACTGAGTTAATGAGATATGGTAACCTGAATCAATGCACACATTTGTATCATTATTTACTTACTTACTTTCGCCTGTTACTCCCGATGGAGCATAGGCCGACGAAAAACTATGACTGATTACTACCTAGTAGCAACAAATAAATTTTTAATTTATTTAGTTAAACACAAATATTGGTACAATGGGGCACCAGATATATATGCGCCGCACAAATCTCATTTGATTTGTGTGATACTGCTCAGGTGCCCAAACCGAAACAGGTGGTTTTCTTAAGGGGCTACACCCCGAGCCATTGACCTGAAGGTCTAGTCCACAAGGCAGTGGAGCATCGTAAGGAGATGCAGTCTCATGGTAGTCGGTGACCAACGATTGATTTATACACCATTTGTTCCCTAAGGATATTGGAGCACACACACACCATTGGTTTAGAATCAAGGTTTTTCAACTGCCCTAGATAGACTTTCCGTGTCCACTGACCCGGTTAAAGCGCCGAACATTCGCTTTTCGTCCTCTCAATTTCGTAAACAACACCCCCACCACTGTGAGAAGGCAGTGAGTAGGACTTCCCTGTCAGAGGTTATATACGCGTAGCCATATGAGAGCATTGTCTAATAATAATCAAAAAACAACCCCAAAACGAACAAAGAAACAAACAAACTACTTGACAAATGTGCATACATGAAATCGTTATTCATGTGTACTATATATATATATACATTTTCTTATTTTTTTATTCTCTATTTATAATTTATATTCAATTACATCTGTGTGTTTCTTTTCGTGGTACGTTTTTGTTTCCGTGTTATTTTTTGTTTTGGTTTTGATGAGATTATGGATGGTTTACGATGACGATGGCGATTTTTTGGACCAAAATGTTTTGGTAAAATTGATAATGATTTATGATGAATTTTAGTTTTAGATAAATCTAATTTCTTTCCTTTATTATTATTCTCATTATTAATTCGAGACTTTTTAGATATTGTTCGATGACATGTCTTGGGGGATAATATAGATTTAGCCTTTTTGGACTTCTTGTCAATATTCATTGTGAATAATTGTGATGGTGATGATGAGGATGATGTTTCTGTGGTTTTAGATTGAAGCATCTAATTTGGGGGGAAGGGGGAGAAAATAAACCAAGAAAAATGAGGAACTATATACATACATATTATTCAAAGTTGAACTCATGAGTCAATTGAAACTAGACCACCATGGAAAACCTGGAAGCACTGAACGGCCGTTTCGTCCTATTGTGGGACTCCTCAGCAGTGCGCATCCATGATCCCACCTCGCGAGATTCAAACCCAGGACCTATCAGTCTCGTGCGCGAGCGCCTAACCTATAGACCACTGAGCCGGCATCCAACGGTGTTAATGTCTAACTTCAACCAATCCACGAAATTGAGCAACCATTCACCAATGTCTTCAATGAGTTGATATCTCAAAATAGACCTAGTTGTAATCCATTGGTCATTGCTTCTCATTAGAACCCCGGGAAATACCTCATGGAGCCAGTCACCAGTGAGCATATGATCATTATCAGAAGGGCGTTTTGTAATGTTATATAGTTTAAATCATGAGATAATTGAAGCTAAACCACCATGGAAAACCCGGAAGCACTGTAAGGCCGTTTCGTCTTATTGTGGGACTACTCAACGGTGCTTCCAGGTTTTCCATGGTGGTCTAGCTTCAATTGACTCATGATTTCAACTATATATAATATTCCATGCTGTGATTAACCTTAAATAGGAACATATCAATGGTATTAATCTATTCTCAACCAATCAGCATTAATAGAAGAATCAAGAAGATATTAGGAGGTTCTTAGGTAAATTCTATGGAAACTCGATATTTTTATGATTGGATGTTTGTTGTTTGAATTATTGGAATATATATACATATATAGTGTTCACTCTCATATTTATTGTGATTTGCAAAGAGTAGAGTGAAGTATATTGTCCAAGAAATACTGAACAACAAAAAGACCTAATAGACGACCTGGTTGATTTATTCTACTTTAAGACTCTCTTCAATTTAATAATATTGTATTTACTAAGAAACTACAAGAGTTTCTGAGTCCGATTGCTGGTGATAGGGTCTTAGGTGATCAATACTAATAAACTTTACACTAAGGCGAAATGATGTTTTAATGATTTAAGTGAAATGGTAGTCTGTGAACAAAATGGCTTAGTCATGAAACATTCGTGAACAGAAACTTTAGAGCTATTCAAATTCCTCCGCAAGTGATTGATAGTTTGTTTTGATCATTTACTTGGATCATTCACCTCTCGGATATAGTTCTTGACTTTCTATCAATTATGATATTTCTAAGTAGTTGGTAAATTATTTCAATGTTTATTGTTAGCTGACCTAGATAGTAAGCTTTAAAAGATTCTCTGATCTTATTTATGACCTTCGTTAACAATTTCAACATTCTCCTAGCTGAAGATGCATCCATAATTATCCAGAAGCATTGTTATAAACAAAGATATATCTTGGAACTTGAAATCTGGTCGATATCTATTTAAGAAAAGATGAAGAGAGAGGTTACTTTGTCTGATATAGTGTTTCCTAGAATTAAAGATGTTGATTTTATGAGAGGATGTTCGGCTTGCCTTCTCTTGTTCTTTCTTTTTTTTTAGTTTATCCACTTATTTTTGAAGTAAGCGCTGATAATGATGAAATAGTCTAGATAGACAGTGATAGCTTCATGATTAAACCACCCAGTTTAGAAAGCACAATTACGCCAAAATCATTATCCTGATCTACGAACCTTTCCCATCTCATCTCAAGTTATTCAGTGTCTTTTGATTTTAAATGGTTCCACAGTCCATATCACTCAACCGCAACATCTAACTTTACGTTGAACATTCTTCATAAGGAATGCTATTATGTGTAGTTACTATTGTGTGTATGTAGTAGTGGAGAAGTAGCTAAGGCACTCAACTTTTAGTCGCTAAGTCACAGGTTTGAATTCCGCTCCAGCGACCTCGGTTTGCAAAACCAGGTAGTACCAATCAACCTCACACTTATATTGTTGTTCCAACAATCGAAGAAATCACCATGGCTATCAGACAGATAAAGAGTGGGAGAGCATCAGGATGTGACAACATACCAGTTGAAGCGCTGGTCGGACATAAAATTAACTGGAACGATGCTCTGCACTCTATTATGGAAGATTTAGGAGGAGGGACAAGTACCGACAGATTGGAAACAAGGATACTTCATAAATATTCCACAGAAAGATTTGAGAAAGCTTGAGAACTCAGCTAGAGGCATCGTACTACTATCGCTATCTGGAAAAGTTTAACAGAGTGTTATTGAACCGAATGAAAGATTCAGTAGACATCCAACCTCGAGATCAACAGACTATATTATTTAAGGATCAGTCATTCACAGACCAAATCAAGACATTAGGGATCATTGTTGAATAATCAATCGAATGGAACTCGTCACTATACATAAACTTCCTTGAGTATGAGAAAGCGTTTGTTAGGATGCATAGGAAGACTTTATGGGAACCTCATCGACACTATGATGTACCTGAAAAGATAGTTAACATCATACGGAATTCTTTTGACAGACTACACTGCAAAGCGATACATGGAGGACAACTGACAGACGTATTCCAACTAAGGACTGGTTTCGGACAAAATTGTTTACTTTCTCTCCCTTTATCTTTCTTCTGGTGGTTGACTGGATTATGAGGATCTCCATATCTCAGAGGAAGCACAAAATAAAATGGATAGCTTGTATGTAACTAGACAATTTGGACTTTGCAGATGATTTAACTCTTTTATTCAGAGATACATCTAAAAACAACTTAAACCACTGAGTTTCTCCATCTCTCTAGGATATCAACCGATCAGTAATGGTGAACAAAAAGATACTAGTCCTACAAGACTTTTATTTCATACATCTACATGAATTAAACTGATTACCTCCGACATTTTCCATCTGATCCCAAAATCAGTACCATAATGGACGATATGAAAACTAATGGGAATGGATGATACAATGGACTCTAAACGTAAGTGTATCAATGAAATACCACATAACATTAAGTACCACATAGTATGAAGATTTACACAAACTTTTCCAACTTACCAAACATTTTTCGGCTCTTTTCTGTTTTAATTGTAATGCTCTCATATTTTCCACTGAAAATTCAACAATTGGTCGCTATTGAATAAGATACAAAAGAACGAACAAAAAAGAGAGAGAAGAGGTGTAAACAATTATCCTTATAATAGGACAAAATTTTTTATATTAGATATCAGTACTCACCATAGAACGCCAAGAGAGTCCTACTGCACGGAACTGAGACTTCGAGAACTATCACAGCCATGATCAGAATAGTACAAGTATTTATAAATAATTGTCTATCCGAGAATCTCCACATCCGTTGGTCGGATATCATTGGCAAGGATGATATTCAATAGTCATTTTGTGTATTTTACATTTATTTATTTATTTAAACACAAATATTGGTACAAAGGGGCACTAGATATAGATGCGCCACACAAATAATTTGATTTGTGTGACGGCTGTGATACTGCCCAGGTGCTCAAACCGAAACAGGTGGTTTTCTTAGTGGACCACACCCCGAGCCTTTGACCTAAAGATCTGATCCACAAGTAGTGGAACATCGTAAGGAGATGCAGTCCCATGGTAGCCTATGACCAACACTTGGTTCATATGCCAGTTGTTCCATCAAGATACTGAAGCCCATGTGCACCATTGGTTTGGAATCAGAGTTTTTCAACTCCCCTAGGTAGACTATGTGTCCACCGACCCGGTTAAATCGCTGGACATTCGCCTTTCGTCTTCTCAATTTCGCGAACAACAGTAATGCCACGAGAAGGCAGTGAGTAGGGCTTCCCTGTCAGAGGCTTTATACGTGTGGCCGTGTGAGAGCATTTCCGGAGGGAGAGCGGACTCTCCCCACTCTCGGCCGTACGAAAGCATTTGAGGGCCTGTTTTGATCATCTTATTGAATAGTTGATAATTGGTGATACTTTTTAAACTTCTTTTTTTCTACATATATCATCAACAGGGTTTACTTTGGAAATAAATAAAGCCTATGTTGATTTTGTTCACATTATCCCATAGATTGTATCTTTTGATAATATCACTTTACAAAAAACAATTCCATTTTGATTCACACAACCTAATGATCTCATCTTATTGTATAATGACTTTTATATTGAAATTAATTAGTTAGTTAGGTTAACTTAAAGAGGTTCTATGTAAGTAGTACTATTGGAAACAACTTTAATAACTCTAATGTTTAAATGTTTGCCGAGAGATATGTAGATTCTGAGTTAGGTCTCTGGTAAGATCAGAGGTTACCCAAACAAAATAGTCAATTTAAATAAAAGAACTAGCAGAGACGAAAAACCACAAATACAATCAGCCACAAACAAGGCTTTCAGAAAAAACTGACCTACGACTCACTTCTACATGAGTCCAGCACTGATGATGTTGCCCAGAAAGACAATTTAAAACTTCGCAATTAAATCATGTAGTAATTTAAAGAGACCAACAACACTAAAAGGCTTATGTACTCCACTTCGAAATGAAGTACATAAGGTAAGATTCGATACCAAGACCTAATTGGATGAAAATCGGGTACTTCAATGAATATTAAATAATTAAATTCACTTAGTATTACTTGTTTGAATCTTCCCAATTGATGTGTAGGACTGCAACTGGTCAGTCTCTTATTGGCATATGTGCATACTGTGCGTATTGCCTTGATATAGCCTTATTTCACAAGCGTTGTAAGCAAAGATAGATAGTGGCTAGCAGTGAAATCCAGTTTGACGCGCGTCTCGTCCTACTTGAGACTCGTCAAATGGATGTACCTGCATCTCAGAGTTGATGTTCACTCTGAGACTCGAACCCAGTACCTTTCGCTTCAAACGCCATCACGTTATCCATTCAGTTACTGAGTCTTGATAGCCATCAACTCTAAGATGCAGGTACATCTAGCTGACGAGTCCCAAATAGGACGAAACGCGCGTCAAACTGGATTCCACTGCTAGCCACTATCAATCTTCATTAAATAATTGTTTCACATTACATAAATCAACTAAACAACTATGAAATTTACGACAAATTATTAGAATAGAAAAAGTGGTTTACAAGTGTTGATCAAAACATTAGAGATTACATGATATACAATTCACTTAATCATCTGACTATTCAACAAAGAACCAGAATGAAGCCAGAACAAGGTTTGATTAAAAGACAGAAGGGAAATGTCAGTATGTGGAATCATAGATCAATTCTTATATATATAAATGAACAAATTAAATCAAATATCATATTATACAGTATAGGATGATTAACTTACTCGATTACTTGGTGGGAATGCATTTGGATTATTATTTAAACCATGTAATACATTTAATGCATTTTCATGATTAGAAAATGCAACAAATCCATAACCAAGTGAACGATATTGTTGCCTGCCTGGTTGAAGATTACGCATAATACGACACTGATGATTGAATTACAAAATAAAAAGAAAGAGGACAATATATACCATTTTGTAAATGTACAGCATAAAAATAAACCATACTTGTTAATGGTAAATAATTTTATATATTCAGTTGAGTTATAAACACAGAGTGGATACCAGCTGGTAGATTAGAGGGTAAATAACAGCTAGATCTACGTGGTTTTGACATGAGATGTTTAAAACAATACTATAGGTCAATATGCTCAACTCTTTGACTATTAATTGTCTATTATAAGATCAAAAGTATCGAAAGCTCTAAAAAAATAGGACCCAAATGTCCTGGTACGGTCGATGGTGGGGACAGTCTGCTCTCCCTCTCGAAATGCTCTCACATGGCCACGCGTATACAGCCTCTACCAGGGAAGTCCTACTCACTGCCTTCTCATGACACCGGTGTTGTTTACGAAATTGACACGACGAAAAGCGAATGTCCGGCACTTTAACAGGGTTGGTGGACACAGAAAGTCTATCTAGGGGAGTTGGAAAACTCTGATTCCAAACCAATGGTGCACATGGACTTCAGTATCTTGATGGAACAAATGGCGTATGAACCAAGTGTTGGTCATAGGCTACCATGGGACTGCATCTCCTTACGATGTTCCACTACTTGTGGATCAGATCTTTAGGTCAAAGGCTCGGGGTGTGGTCCACTAAGAAAACCACCTGTTTCGGTATGGGCACCTGGGCAGTAACACAGCCCTCACACGAATCAAATGAGATTTGTGTGACGAATATATATTTGGTGTCCCCTTGTACCGATATTTATGTGTTTACATAAATAAATAAAACTATGCTAGTCATCTCGTTAATTTTATCCCATGGTGCCAATATGGTATGGAAAAGTAGGCTAACGCAAATTTATGTTAGATTGTACGCTAATTATGACTGATTGAGAGTCTTGTATAAGGGGTAAAGACACAGCCCAGCTGCCTGTAAAGAATTTAATGGAGTGTGGTTCAAGCCTGCAATATAGTGGTTAGTGATTGAGATTCTTGACAACTAAGGCACTGAATACATGCAGATTTCATTACTGGATCATGAGTATAGATCTCACTCTTACCCCCGTTTATTATCTCCTGTGCTGGTGCAGCATGCGTGTGTCAAAGTATAATACGTAACCTTGTAATTAGTTATCATCCAATAACAACTATCAGTGAATATATAAGAAAACGCCAAACGTATGAGCAAATCAAACCTTACAAATTGACCATAACAATGCTTAAATAAGAATATACCACTAATAGATTCTAAACGTACTCACTTCTGAAATTCGGCGGTCCGTACCTTTCTTTAGAAATTTCATGCAAGCAGATTTTAAGTCATCATCTGACACATGTAAGGGTAGATTACGTAAACATAATCGAACATCACTAATAAAATAATTTGGATCCGTTAGCTTTTTCTTTTTCTCTCGTAATAATGCATCCCTTCTAGCTAAATCTTCTTTGCTTAAACCTTCGGCTTCAGATGACCCAGGACGAATAACTATATGAAAAAGGGGAAAATAATAAAACGTAAAAAAATATTTTGATTCAAGCAATGGTAGAGAGGGAAGAAATCGTGTAGGCACAATATATGTCAATCTTTAAATTCTTCCTACTATTCACTGTTGTGAATCAAGTTTGGAAGGATTCCTTTCTCATCCATAGTTCATAATATGGACTGATTGTGGACAAGCATTGAAAACCAGTAAGCACTAAACAATTATTTTATCCTGAAAGTGGAACAACTCAGCAGTGCACATTCACGAAAGCACGGGAGATTGAATTCGGTATCTTCGGGCCTCGCGCTAAGTGGTTAACATTTAGCCACATTGTATGTGTAGAAGATAGTGACACTAACTGATTGACAAAGCATAGCAGAATCCTACTGTTATGCTTGTGGTCGAGTGGATGACTAGTTGATGTGTGACGCGATAAGACCCGCCAAACAGGGAGCAGCGAATTGTCGATTGGAAAAGTGACACGAAACCCGTACGAGCAGACTAGAGTGCTAACCGATCCTGCGATCTGCCTAGCCCAGCCAGTTAGTTCCAAAACACCAATAACAGCCTCAGTGGTATGAATCATTGTATTTCAAACATACTGAGTTTATATACCAACCAAAGAGACCATATCGACCCATAAAATAGATAATAACATTTGTACAATATTTAGCCGGATGTGACTGTGAATAGTAATCAACAAACTGATGATAACTCAAGAATCGTATGATAATAAGTCAAAGATCAAAATAAAGCTAATGATAAGAGAAATACGAATATGAATAGTTCAGTTACGTAATAATTGTACAATAGGAAATAGGCATATTACATTGATTCATAAATATACCTAAAAGTTACCATTCGTAATTCACCAGGGGATATATAATAAATAACTGGAAAGATATGAATCAGTCAGTCACAACGTAGAACTTCGTACGTACGTACATCAGTTCGAGTTGCCATACCACATTAACACAGACATGCAGTTGTCGATTCAAATCCCACAGTAATCCGAAAGATTAGGGTTTGAAGATGTTATACAAGGAGTATAATACAGTGAAATAAATTTGAAAAGAGAAAAAAGATAGAGACATGAAGAATTCAGAAGATTAGAATTTGGTAGAACACAAGGAATGGATGCACCTTCGCCATTGCAAACGATTTTGAGCCATGTCACTCATGGTCTCTAACCATCGGTTGCTATCATCTCGCGGATCCCAACCATGTAATCTACACCTGCCAACATGGCTCAGTCCAGTTGTCAGTGACTTCATGGACTTGTGCCACGGATATATCGGAAATAATCAATCTATAGAAGTTGTATTATTAAAGTGATTATCATTATATGAAATGAAGTTAGATGATTTAAAATATGTATATACAATAAGATTATCCACTTACTTCCAATAGATGCTAAATGCAAATTGCGCCCCTTTTGCTTCATAGCATCTGCAGGGCCTACAAAACCTTCTGAATCATTTTCTTCATGTTTTCTTTTTCGTAGATTTTGTGCCTCTGTTCTAGAAACAGCAATCGTTATGTTTAAAGTTCGATTTTCCAAAGAAAATTGATTAGCATTCTAAATAAAAATAGATCAGCTGTATTATGGAATCGAGTATATTTCTTATTACGTACAATATATTACACAATAACCTATCAATGAAACATAATATTTTTCAACTAACCTCAGGTTTATCAGATTGTTGTAAGACATTTGATGCATCCTCAACATTTACAAACTTTACAAAAGCTGTACCACGGGAATGTTGTGTTGCTGGATCTTTAACTACTTTTGCAAATTCTAGTGGTCCGAACTGTGAAAAAAATTTATACAACGCATCTTCTTCCACATCAAAGGATAGATTCCTGAAATAATATATGCACAGAGCGATTTAACCGGTATTAATGACAATTGTTTTCAACACCACACTTTGAAGAAAATGAAAGTTAACAAAACAGTAACTGAAGTAAAAGAAGTTAGTTCAGAAAGAGCGGAATATCAACCGAAGTAATCATGACTTGTGCTTGAGTACAAGAGGGCGTGAAGATTGTTGAAGCTAGTTTGTGAATCAGAACTACAACAGTACCACTTCATACTTGTCTCAATCACTTAAGATACCACCAGGTATGACTTACAAACCTCCTCGTCTATTTTGGGCTGAGTCTTCACGCACGGTGATGATGTCGGTCAAATAACTTTTTTCCCATCTCTAAGGAGGAATGGTCATGCAGTCATCTTATTCAAGTTTATAGCTGAGATGGCCTGTCAAACAGTTGCTCCCGCCCGTCCTAACATATGGAAGGCAAACATAGAGACAATAAACTTTGTAGCATCCGCTGAAAACTGGATTGACTCAGGGGCATCAGTAGAAGAGGCATGAACTTATTTCAGACAGTTATACAGTCAGGCAACTCAACCATATATGCCCTGGACAGTTCCAAAGAAGAAGCACGGTCATCCCTGAATAGGCCGGAGTATTTGACGTTTACTAAGACAAAAGAAGCGTTGGAACGTTGCCATCAGCCTTGACACAGCAAGTACTATGGAACACTACAGATCGGTAAGAAGTATATGATTAAAATCCGGAAATCTCAGAGAAAATATGAAATGCGGGTGGCACAACCTGCAATCAAGCAGCTTAAGAGACTATCCCCGTACATAAACCACAGAATAAGGACGCAGCATTGGATTCCGACTAAATAAAGATCGCTACTACAGCGCTACAAAATAAATTTTTCTGTGGAAAGTATACACCATGCGTGGGAAGATGCAAATAAGTCAGTCATTATCAACTTATGTTACCACATTATACCAGCACGGTAACAAATATTAAGATTTATGTAGGAGTGGTCGAAAAATTAACAGTATCAGTGGTACCAGAAAAGGCTGGGTACAGGAAATACGACTGGAGAAAACGAATTTGCTGAATGGAAGGCATATTAGGTTAAGATGATTCCTCGGATCTTAATCAAGCAGCTTACACCTATGAACATTTCTCAGTCCAACAGTCACAGTTCATGAACCTACTAGATGTTTGATCTAGCTCCCCGTTCCTCCCTTAGCTTTCTCACAACGCATTTCTACACTGTTAAATATAATAAGTTCAGTTAGGCTGTTGAGCATATAAAGTGCAAACCCATTACATGTTTATAAATATTCGAAATCTCACCAACCTATCTACAATCTCTATGTAGTACTCTGTGACTAACATCATTTCTTATTCAGTGGTCCGAACAAACCCAAGTAGTGCTTCAAAGATATATATGATTTCATGCGATTAACCTACTTTTATTTTTAGAAAATGAAACGTTTATAACCTAAAGTATAATTTTTTTGTCCCAACCACTGTAGTTTGGATTTTATAATGTTCTAGAAACTCTGATAACGGTATTGACTTAACAGGCTGCATGCATGTAAGCAAAGCGCTAAGCTGTATAAAGTTAGGACCTTTAGTTAATTAACCTAACGTAAAACAATCATTTTCGACATGATACGAACTGTAAAAACAAGTGTTAACACAAAGGATGTTTCTAGGATTCATACATCATAACGCATGTCGGTTCGTGATGGAAACTCTAACCCTAGTAGATAATCCTAACTCCCAACATCAATTTCAAACCCTACTTCGATATCTGCACCATGACTTTTCTCGTTGCTCATCAGTTCGGTAGCATACTCTAGGTTAACTACAGTAGTTATAGGTCAGGTCAGCTACAACGTAGGACCAGGCACATATATGCATCGGTCCAAGTTGCCATACCTCGTTAGCACAACAAGAGGAACACCGGATTCATAGTAGTTAATCTAGTGTTGGTAGTAGTATATAAATTATAGGTTGTATATAAGGATATAGTATAGGAAGGAAGAGAGATATGAAGCAATTTTAGTCTCAAGGTTTAAGGGAAGATAAAGAGTGTATACACCTACGCCATTGTGACCGATTCTGAGCCATGTCACCTAGAGTCTCCAACCATTGGTTACGATAGTCACGCGGACCCCAACCAGGTAGTCTGCATCTGCCAACATGGCTCAGGCTAGAAGTTAGTGACTTCAAACACTGATGCCATGTTTTGGTTTGGCCGCCCCTAACTCTCTTCCAACCGTCCCCAATACTAGTCATCATAGCGCGTCGTGGTAATCGGTGTTCAGGCATACGTAACACATGGCCCAACCATCTCAGTCGATGAAGATTCATCACCTCATCAACTGATTTACCATCGTTCCCTAATACCCTGCGTCTAACCTCACTATTACTTATCCGATGATTCCAGCAGATGCGAGCAATATTTCTAAGGCATCTGTGGTCAAATACTAGTAACCTACGAGTATCTTCTACTCTTAATGGCCATGTTTCACAGCCGTAAAGTAGGACAGAGCGAACTGCTGCGCAGTATACTCGTCCCTTAATTGATAGACGGATATCTCGTCTTCGCCATAGGTGACGTAAGTTGGCAAAAGCCAAACGAGCTTTTTGAATCCGTGCTGAGATTTCGTCTGACACCAACCCATTAGGGCTGATCAGACTTCCAAGATAAGTGAAGTTGTCGACGCGTTCGACTACTTCACTTCCTATCCTTAGTTCGAGTGTTGACGCAGGCAGTTGACGCAGTAGTTATAGACATGATTAATGCTGACACCCCAGTGTTCAGCATGTAGGAACAAAGTTAGGGACGAGTCTATCCAAACTTTTTAACAATCAGCTCTTAAATACTTATACTTTTTCCCCTTATCATTATTTTAGGGTTTTCCACGAGGTCGTGACAATCGGAAGTTTTCACCAGTTTTGGGGATTTCCCCGGACCTGGATAAATTTTGGGATTTCTGTGCAATTTCTCCAAAATTCTCCATAGCGGCTCCCTAAAAAAACACAAAATTTCCCCAAAAAATAGGGAGATTGAAACATTTCCAAGGAGCTTTATCTTTACATGGATTAACACAGGTTCACGGACTTACTATGCTTACTACTGAAGACTGGAATGTATTGTCTCCTGTGTTTACTTTGGAGTAAGGTCTTGGCGCAACAAATGTGTGGTTCAGCAGGAAATGAATTTTCTATGAAATAGTGATGTTTCATGTCTAGAGATGAAATACGCCTATGGGAGTATCTTAGCATATTATCATGCTGTTCAGTCTACAGTAATAAGGATAGTAGGTTGATGAACCTGTATTAATCCTGGCAGATTGCCTTTTAGTGAAGGTCTGGCTTCTCCTTGAAAATGTTCACTGATGAGGCCGATGCCACTTGTTCGGGTAATGCGTTCCAGTCATTGACCGCTCGATGAGAAAAACGTGACCCCATATTTATTTTATTAGATCGCGGTTTGTGAACCTTCTTGTTATGACCTCGGAGATTAATGGTGCTGGAGAGAGCAGAAAAATAAGACATATTACCACCCAAATCATAATTAAAGATACGAAATGCCAGTATAAGGTGGTGAGTAATTATGACTATATCACCCAAAAACGTCCTCTATGTCGACAAATATACTTCGTTTAGTTTGGTAGTTTTCAATGTATTTTAAGTGACAGAACAAGATGAATATTACCTGATAAATATCGTTCTACCTTCTGAAGTATCGGACCCCATGAGACTTTAGATACCCTTGAGATGTTCTCAAGGACGTTCACAGTTCAGTTTCAGTTTCAGTTTGGAAAGGACAGGAGGCTTGATGGCCTGTGTTAGTCCTGGTAATGATGGTCTCTCAGCTGATCCAACTTTCTTTTGGAGGAGTCGACGGATGGGGCCTCAACCACGTGCTGAGGTAATGAATTCCACTCGTTGATGATTCGATGGGAAAGTCGGTAGTAATGAGGGCATATGAGGTGCAAATTTGTCATTAAGCAATTTGAAAACTATAATCAAGTCACCTCTGATTCTTCTATATGACAGCGGGAATAGGTTTAGCTTGGTCAGTCTAGTACCATACGGGAGCTTCGCTATTCCGGGAATCAGCCTAGTTGCTGTTCTCTGAACCCTTTCCAAGAGTTCACTGTCTTTTTTTAGGCAGGGGTTAGCTGCTTGTATACAGTACTCAAGTTTAGGGCGTACGAACACTGTATACAAAGTCAAAAACGTTTTAGCGTCAAGATGCCTAAAAGCCCTGCGTATGGACCATAAAGTCCTAAAACCTTTGGCGGCTGTTACACGGCAGTGTGCAGTAGTCTTTAAGTCTTGACTGAAGATGACGCCTAAGTCATTGTGTGTCTGGACAATAGGTAACTCAGTGTTATTCATCGTGTATGTATCTGTACCCTGGTGGCCAATATGCATCACAATACACTTGGAAGTGTTTATCGGCAATTGCCAGGTTTGGGACCATTCAGTTAATCTCTCCAGGTCATTTTGAAGTTCTAAGCTATCGCCCTTGCTTTGTATCGCTCTCCATATCTTGACATCATCAGCATAGAGTAAGACCGATGACGATAGTAGACGAGGGAGATCATTTACGTACAGGAGGAATAACACTGGCCCCAAAACTGTACCCTGGGGGACTCCACTAAGCACAGTTTCCCAGCTAGACAACTTGGAGTTCACCCTTACTCTTTGTTGACGCCCAACTAGAAAGTCTTTTATCCACATCAATAGATTGCCTCCAATCCCGACATTCCTTAGCTTATATAACAGCCGGTTATGCGGAACTTTGTCGAAAGCTTTGCTGAAATCGATGTAAGCTACGTCTATAAGTAATTTTTGGTCCTTAAGAGCGCACCAGCTTTCACGAGCGACTAATAAGTTTGTGAGACAAGAGTAACCTGTTCGAAAACCATGCTGCTTTTCGGAGAGGATCCGGTTTTCATCGAGATACTTTAACAGTTCCTTCCGAATAATCTTTTCTAAGATTGTAACAACCACACTAGTTAGGCTAATTGGTCAGTAATTCTCAGGCTTATGTTTTGTTCCTGTCTTGAAGACTGGACTTACTATGGCGTTCTTCTAGTCTTTTGGTATACGACCCTGGGTTACGGATAGATTAAAACATACACTTAAAGGGTTCGCAACAAAGTTAGCTAATTCCTTTAGTAACCTAGGATGCAGTTCATCGGGTCCAGTGGATTTACCTATGTCAAGCTTAACTAGCAGACCAAAGACATCGAGTTCTTTAATGGTTACGCTGTCCAGTGCTTGTGTGGGTGGATTTTCATGGACTGGTGAGAAGGGTGTTTCTATGGTGTATACCTCGCTAAAGTATTTAGAGAATACTTGAGCTTTGCCAAAGTCATCCTCCACTAGTGATGTGGCAGTACTGTCTCCCCATAGTGAAGGAACATTTCTTCTTCTTTTTGTCCTTTGGTTTATATACGAATACAAGCGTTTAGGGCATTCTATGGATTCCCTTACGATTTTCTCTTCGTACAGCTTTCTGGCCTTACGGAGGGTCGAGGCACAGGTATTTCGAGCCTTTTGATACTGAGATTTTGCCTCGTCAGTCCCCAGTAACCTAAATCTGTCCCACATTTTCCTTCTTTTACGGAGAAGGATGCGACCTCCCTACTGAACCACGGTGGGGAGTTTCTCGGTCTCTTAGGTGTAGTCTAAGGGATTTTGGGGGGTGGTAACTTTTAAGTATAAATTCCGGAATATGTCCCAAGCCGTTTCGATTGATGACTCTGGGTCTAATTTCCAATCTACTAATGATGCTGATTTCATGATGTCTGGTATGTTTGCTTTCCAGACGTTAGGTCTGGATTGAGCTGAAGCGTACTCGTGATCGACAGTTATATGGAAGTCAAAGCTTAAAACTGCGTGATCACTTTTGCCTAGGGGTGGCATGTAATCCAGGTTTGCAACATCATCCTCATAATGAGTCAATATAAGATCTAGTAAGGATGATGCAGAACCCGGGTCGTACCTAGTTGCTTCCTTCACGTGTTGCACTAGGGCACATGTGATTACCGCATCAACTAGTTCCTGTTCGAAGGAGTTTGCTGACGATTCAGTCCGCAGATTTCCCCAGTCCACCATGGGTTCATTGAAGTCCCCTAGGATTAGACATCGATCACTTCGTGATAAAGTGTTGAGACTGCTTAGCAGGACCTCGTTTGCCTCACAGCTTGGACTGCAATAGATCAAACTAAGTAGCAACTCTTGTCCCCTGCATTTCAGGCGGCAGCAAACTAATTCATACGTCCCATTCTCATGGGATACACTGTCGATAATAGTGAATGGAATAGAATTCCTAATGAATAGAGCTACTCCCCCTCCTGTACGCGTTTGTATTCTATCGGCCCTTACCAATGTAAAACCCTCGAAATCAAGTTCCCTACTATCTATAGACGGCGTCAGCCATGTTTCCGTGACTGCGATTATGTCTGGCCTAGTTGAGTCAATCTGTACACCTAGTTCCGGTAGCTTATTTAGTAAGCTCCGGGCGTTGGTATAACAGATCCGAAGCCTATTTAGGTGGCCTCGTGCTTCACCCAGAGTGGCTTCGGCATCATCCTCTGTCGAAGCCTCACAACCCGAAAATTTACAATTTTCAGGTCTTTTTCGCCAGCGTCTAATCTGAGCTGTAGTTCCTTTTCGGCTTCCCGTCTTTTAACACGGTCCGCCAACGGTAAGTCCTTACGGAGAAAAACTCCTGAACCCTTTATTTTTTGTGTCCATTTTCTAAGATTAAGTCGCGTTCGTTTGAGGATTTGAAAACGACTTTGAGTAGTCTAGACTGATTTGGTTTCAGATGCGCTAGATTTCCTAGTCTATACACCTTTAGCAAGGTGACTCCGGGGATGTTTTTGGGCGTAACTTGGTTGAGTAGTTGTTTTATCAACACAATGTCATGCTCAAAACGAGCTTTCGGTTCTAAGTTGTCACTCACCTTGACTCTATGGAGAATGACTGATCTGTCGCTGTGATCAGACCTCGACTTGTCGACACTTTTGGTGGGGGTATGATTTCCTTTTACGTCATTTTGGAGTTTTTTTTCTTACGACCCGTACCCAATCGCCAACGTTCTTTGGAGTGGTAACCACATTCGCGTCAGACGTACTGTGGGATTCCGGAAGAGTCAGGACGACTTGGGAGATTACGTCATCTTTCGCGCTAGAAACCGATCGAGCCTTGCGGTTTCGGCTTTCTGAAGTTCCCTTCTGGGTACCATTTTTGATACGAGGGACAGAAGAGACTTTTTTGCGCGAGTTTTTGGTTGTAACAGTCCTCTTTGGAGGATGTTCTTCCTCCTTAGTAGAGTGTGGGTCGGCAGTTTTTGGACTCACTTGGGCCTGCCTTGTGTCAATCTGCGTGTCGACAGATTGAGTTCTGACTGATGTATCCCGACCGCGCTTGCCGAGACACTTTTTTTGCGGCATTTACTATTGAAATAGCCTCGATTAACAGGCTATTTGCATCCAAACAGCACTGTTGACATAGCCATACGCACCCATTTTTACTGAACCACTTGAAAGCTGCAGGTGTTAGATTCGTGCAAACATCGTGGTACCAACCTTTGCACTCAACGCACTGCATGCCGCTATCAACAGGATATCGACATCCTGGGCGGTGGCAAATGCTTTTGTTGCATCTTCCAGTCATTTTAGGATGCGAAAGTGAGTGTTGACTACAAGTAGAAAAGAAACTATAAACAGTTAGGACCACAGTACTAACAGACACAATGGAAAAAAGTACTCTGGAGTACCGACGATAAAACTATTTAGGATACCAAAGATGATACTCTAATAGAATACTTTAACTGAAAGAAATCCAATCAAAGTATAAAAACAGTAGTCTTGATACGTTAATAACGATCAAAACAATAGAATTTACTCAACGAGGAAAAATACCACTGTCCTTTTTGTAACGTAAATTTTAGCTAGGTTCACACGCATTCTAAAGTACATTCCATTCTGAGTGTAAAAGTGTAAGTGAAAAAAACTTAGCAAGACAAGGAACAGTCAAATTATTCGCGAAACTGAATCGTTAAGCACATAGAATGCACTAACGTTCATGAACGGAAGCAAACATTTTAAATGGTTCAAATGGTTGTGGACGGAATAGAAGTTTTCGCTTAACGGGCTTCCGTGTTTAGTAGCAGTGAATCATCAATACCTCCAGCCAGGAACCTTAGGTATATCAATGATAATAAAGGGAAAAAAGAAGTTGGTAAATCATAATGAGATATTTTCTTTAGTCCTTAAGCATACGTCAAGTTTCCTCTTAAAGGACTCCCGTGAAGTCGCTTGGACTAGCTCACTCGGCAGCGAATTCCAGCATTTGACAACTTTTAAGACGTATAAGTTGTGTCTACAGTCCGTACTTCTATGTCGCGTCTCCAGTTTCTGGGTGTTACCCCTTAGTTTTGTATGGTGACTAAGCTTAAGTGGATGTTTAAGAGGATGACCAGAAGTGTTAAGGATACTGTGAGCCATTAGAACGTCACCTCCAAGACACCTATACTCCAAGGGGTAAAGGTTAAGTGATTGGAGGCGCTCTTCATAAGGGTTGAATTCTAGTTACTTACTTACTTACTTACGTCTGTTATTCCCAATGGAAAACAGGCCGCCGAACAGCATTCTCTAACCCACTCTGTCCTGGGCATTCCTTTCTAGTTTTATCCATTTTTTGTTCATTTTTCTCATGTCTGTTTCCATTTCTCAGAGTAATTTGTTTTTGCACTTCCTCTTCTCCTTTGGCCTTCAGGATTCCATGTGAAGGCTTTTCTTGTGACGCAATCGGGTGATTTCTTTAAAGAGTGTCCTATCCACTTCCAACGCTTCTTCCTGATTTCTTTTTCCATTGAAATCTGGTTTGTTGTCTCCCACAGTAGATTGTTGCTGATAGTATCTGGCTAACGGATCCGAAGTATCTTGTGAAGAAAACTGTTAATAAACACCTGTATCTTTGGGATGATGGCTTTCGTGGTTCTCCACGTCTCCGCCACATACAGTAGAACCGTCTTGACATTTGTATTGAAAATTCTGATCTTGGTGTTGGTTGCAATTGTTTTGAGTTTCAGATGTTCTTCACTTGTAAATATGCTGCTCTTGCTTTGCTGATCCGCATCTTCACTTCTGCATCAGATCCACCGTGTTCATCAATGATGCTGCCCATATATGTAAAGGTTTCCACATCCTCCAAAGCCTCTGCGTCAAGAGTAATTCGATTGGTGCATGCTGTATTGTATCAGAGAGTCTTGTTTTTACCTTTGTTTATATTGAGACCTACTGCTGCTGAGGCTGTTACTAAACTGGTCGTCTTCTCCTGCATTTGTTGTTCCGTGTATGATAGATGACCTAAATCATCTGTGAGGTTTAAATCGTCCAGCTGCATCCTAACTGCTTCTCTCCAGTTGTTGACGTCTTCATGATTCAGTCGATCACTAGGAAAAAGAGAAAGGGTGAGAGTAAGCAACCTTTCATAATACCGGTCTTTACCTCGAATGAGTCGGTGATGTGTCCTCCGTGAACGATTTGGCAGTTTAGTCCATCATGGGAATTCCGTTTAACGTTGACTATCTTCCCAGACACTTCGTAGTGTCAAAGAGGCCTCCACAGTGTTGTCCCATCCATCCTATGAAATGTTTCACTGGAGTTGATGTAAAGTGATGAATTCCATTTAATTGATTGTTCCACAATGATACGTAGAGTTGAGATTTGGTCTGTACACGATCTATCCTAACGAAATCCATCCTGTTGATCTTGAAGTTGGCGTCTACCGAGTCCTACATCCTGTTTAACAATACTCTGTTGAAGACTTTTCCTCGTATTGAGAGAAGAGTGATGCCCCTGTAGTTATCGCACTTGTTGAGATCGCCTTTCTTTGGTATATTGATCAGAATTCCTTTTTTTCCAGTGTGTTGGTACTTATTCTTCGTTCCAAATCTTACTGAAGAGAATGTGGAGTATCTTGGCAGTTGCTGCTACATTTGCTTTCAGTGCCTCTGCCGGGATGTTTTCTGGTCCGCGGCTTTGCCGCACTTGATTTGTCTGATGTCCATGATGATCTCTTCAATTGTTGGTGGGCCAACATCGATTGGGAGGTCTGTGGGTGCTGCTTCGATGTTGGGTGGGTGCAGGGGAGCTGGTCGATTCAAGAGTTTTTGTAGTGTTCTACCGACCTGTTTCGTTGTTCTTCAGTGTTGGTGATTACTTTGCCTTCCTTGTTTTTCACTGTTCGTCCTGGTTTACGATAATTTCCAGCGACTTTCTTTGTTGTATCATACAATTGTCTCCTGTCCTTCTCTTGCAGCTTGGCTTGTTTGGAATGCCTGCTTATGCTACCGTTGTCGATTCATATTAATTCTACACAGTAGTCATTTTCAGGATTTAGCACCTCGATCGTACATTTTCCGGGGTCGCATTAAATATTTTGTAGGGCCAGTGACGTGTCATGAACTTTGTCTAATCATCCAGGAATCACGTCATTGAATATCGTCAAGATCAGGGTTAACAATGAGCATCAGCGAATCACACGCTATAGACTGGCCCACGGAGTGATGATTGAACTTCATTCATTGTTCCTACTTTTACTAATTTACTTCAGTCATAGGTTCTTTTGTGTTGCACAATCACCAAAGTGTCCATAGTTCTTGTATAAGACAGCAATGTAATCCACATTAGGTACTAACTGTGGGGTTTAACTTAAATGCTAGCTGGCTAGTCTTACCATCCTAGTCTGACTGGAGTAGGCCACCAATCATTCGGCATAGTATCTTTGTTGGTGATCTACAATTCATTATCTGTTTAACGGAGTCTATTGATTCCTAACATACGGGAAAATGGAAAGAATTCTTAGTCGGTACTAAATAAATATATGGTTATCTTGTCACGTTACCTACTAATAGTTAAAGGATCCAGTGATACCGTGTTCGGGTCCACCAAACAATTATGATATGAATGAAAACACCAAAAAACTTACCAGTTACAATGACTTTCTTCGAAGCGTTATGTGCAGTTAAAATTGTTTTAATCATCCACTGGCTTTTTAACGAGGTCATGAAACTCCGAAGCCTCATAACAATGCGTAGGACTTCACTGGTGTAAACTTGTGGCCGTAAGGTAACACGAGTGTTTAACATTTTCCAATGACCTCTTTGTGAAAATTGAAACATTGAGCGAAAATATCGGATTTGTCCGTTGAGAAATAAAAGTTTTTGCTGGGTTCCACATAGCTGAAAAAAGAACATCGATAAGTTTTGTTTCATAGCATCAGTTGGTTAGACTTGTATCATAAAAATAATGGGAGATTCGGTGACACTATAACTCTCTTTGCTCGTCGATAAATGCCTGATCAAGTAATTCATGAGACAGGCAAAACTTAAGCTATACCTCTTGACTTATATGTAATCGTTTTCGCGATTATTGAGTACTCGTATTTATGTCCAAATCATTTATCTGCAACATGCACGGGTCTTCAAAATTTCGAACGTAGAATCCAGTACATATATGCAGCGCACTACATATTACAAATTCATACATTCTGACGCAGGGATTAATATGGCAACGAATTCACCTCGACCAAGAATAACGACATTGACATATTCAGTGTATATATATATATATATATATATATATATATATATATATATTCATCGTCATCACATCAGCACAGCTGGATAAAATTATTAAGCCAAATCCAAGGGAAATAGAAGTAGTAACACGACCAATGGTATCAGAAAAGACCAGGATTTGAGAGGATTAAAAAAGTATTAGGAAACTTCAGAACCTAAAATCTAAGAGAATTATTAATATCAAAATTGAAACCGAATTTTTACTTTGTCAGTCTCTAATTAACTAGAATATCATTAAAATATGAGTCTTCATCATTAAATTTCCCGTCTTTCTAGTTCTTATTTGTGAGTGACTGCTTATCATTTTCTTCATAATACTGTACACCTGGCAGTGCTATTCTCATCAAATAATTCTGCACTATTCGGTCTTGGAGAAGTATATTCAGTGTATTGCGAGCTTTTAGGTGGCTTTAATTATGATAATGAAGTGATGAAATTGTGTATAAGATACAAATTTCAATCCATACTTTTCGTATCTTGCTAAACAGTATTCAATATACATGCCAAGCACCATTATTTTTGCGTGTATTCGGCATCACATTAGGTTTCTGAGTTTCTACGAAAACACAATTTAATTTAGTCTTCAGTAATAAGGATAGTAGGTTGATGAACCTGTGTTAATCCTGACAGATTTCCTTCCAGTGAAGGTCCAGCTTCTTTTTGAAAATGTTCACTGATGGTGCTGATACCACTTGTTCTGGTAAAGCGTTCCAGTCATTGACCACTCGATGAGAAAAACGGGACCCCACCTTTAGTTTATTAGATCGCGGTTTCAGAACCTTCTTGCTATGACCCCGGAGATTATTAGTGCTGGAGGGAGCAAAAAGGTAAGACATATTAACACCCAGATCATAATTAAAGATACGAAATGCCAGTATAAGGTCACCTCGCGTCCTACGATAAGATAAGGGGAAAAGATTTAGACGTTTTAAACGCTCATCGTAAGGGAGTTTGGAAAGACCCTTTACTAATTTTGTCCCTACACGCTGGACACGCTCAAGCGATTTAGTATCCTTTATCAGACAAGGGCTAGCTGCTTGGATACAGTATTCTAAGTGTGGCCTTACATAGGTGGGATATAAAATTCGAAACATATCCTCGTCAAAGCATTTAAATGCTCTGCGAAGCGACCATAGCGCGCGATAGCCTTTGGAAGCAACCGCACTGCAGTGTGTAGTAGTTTTTAAGTCGTGACTTATAATTACTCCTAAGTCTTTATGCGTATGAACGCGTGGCAGAGATGTACCATTAATGGTATAGTGGTAACTAATATCGTGCCCGATGTGCATGAACACGCTCTTCCTGGAATTAACTTCCAGGCCCCAATCATGAGCCCACCTAACTAATTCGTCTAAATCTGCTTGTAGATAACAACGATCAATCTCATTTCTTATTGTTCTCCAGATTTTAACATCATCCGCAAACAATAACGTCGACGACTTAAGTAATAAAGGTAGTTCATTAATATACAGAAGGAAAAGTAAAGGGCCCAAGATGGTGCCTTGGGGTACACCACTTTTGACCGGTTTCCATTCGGATAGAGTTCCATTGACTCTCACTCTCTGTCTGCGGTCACATAAGAAGCTTCCTATCCATTCCTGTATAGCACCTGTTATACCAAAGCTCGAGAGCTTTTGCGTAAGACCTAAGTGTGAAACCTTATCAAACGCTTTGCTAAAATCTATGAATATCACGTCGACAGACAGGCCGTTGTCTAGTGCAGCTGTCCAATCCTCTCTTGCAATGAGTAAGTTAGTCAAGCATGAATGCTTGTTACGAAACCCATGTTGCTCGGGAGTTAACAGATTGTACGAATCTATGTGGCTCAGTAGCTTAGCCCGAATTAATTTTTCAAGTAACTTAACTACTATACTGGTCAGGCTAACAGGCCGGTAGTTAGATACTATCCGTCTCTGACCATCCTTAAATATAGGACTAACTATGGCGTCTTTCCAGTCTCTAGGTAGATGAGCCTGTGAAAGGGACATGTTGAAGAGCATCGTGAGCGGTCTTGAGATAATGTCCGCAAGCGACGACAGCAAACGTGGGTGTAACCCATCGGGGCCCGGTATCTTACAAGGTTTTAGGTTAGTTATCAAAGGAAGAACAATAACCTCCGTCACGTGTAAAGGTCCTATGGCTGGTATCTCATTGTCAACGGGACAAGTAGTTGTAACACTACACGTAGAGTAGACTTCACTGAAATAGTTAGCAAATGTCTCAGCTTTCGCTAGATCAGATTCAGCAAATAAAGCTGAATTTTCGTGTAACAGTAACAAGGGGATACCATCACTACGTTTCATCCGCCTTTTAACGTACGAAAACAGTCGCTTCGGACAGGTACGGCTATCGTATGCCAACTGTCGTTCGTAAGCCGTGCGGGATTTAGCTATGGTCTTTTTACATATATTCCGGATTTTTTTATATTCGCACTTAAATGATGCCTGACCTGTTGACAAGAATAAGTCCCAGAAGTGTTTCCTACGCTTCAACAACTTCCGGGTTTCCTTATTAATCCATGGAGGGCAATATGATAACTTACGTGCTGACCATGGGATAAACGGTTGAGTTACGGATTCGAACGTAGACTTAAACCTATTCCATGCATCATCAATCGATCCATCAGCATCGACCGACCAGTCAATTGAGATAGCATAGTCCCTGATTGCCGGAATATTAGCTCTCCAGATATTAGGACGGGGTGGAGCTGATGCAAATTCTATATCATGTATCCGGAACTTAAAGGAAAGTACGACATGGTCACTATTCACCAGTGGGGGAAGATGTTGAATGTCAACGATATCTTCAGAGTGGTGTGTGAGGACAAGGTCTATCAATGACGGATTATGTTCCAAGTCTATATGTGTTGGCTTAACGATACATTGTAGAAGTGCACATTGAATAATTGATGACAGAAGGACGCTATCGAAACCCCCCACCTGGAGCTGTGAGCTCTATCCAGTTTATATGGGGTGCATTGAAATCTCCAAAGATGAGACAACATTCTGCTTTACTCCAAGAACAGACGTGTTTTAGGATAAAGTCGTCAGCGAGACAACACGAACTACGATATATTCCTCCTATCGTCACTAACCCGTTTCTAGACCTAATTGTACAACATACTACCTCACACGTACCACTTACATGCGCCTCCGATATGATCGAGTTAATGCGGAAGTGGTCCCTAATATATAATATTATGCCTCCTCCCTTGCGACTTCTAACTCTATCACTTCTGACACAGATGTAGCCTGAAATGACTGGAGAACAGTCTATATCTACAGTGAGCCAAGTTTCGGTGATAACAATTATATCGGGATTTAAGTAGTCTACCATCAAACTTAGTTCAGACATCTTATTCCGAAGACTACGAGCATTCGTATAACACACATTTAGGGTGTTTTTGGAGACATGCGTTCTACCCACACAGGTCTCGGAAGCATTGGCTTCCAAGACCTGACTACCCGAAAACCCTTAATCGTAAGGTTCGCTTCACCGTTTAGCCTTCGAGTTTTTAACTCTGTTAGGGCATTCTTCCACTTGATCTGATCCTCAAGTGGCCAGTCAGGTCGAATACGAATGTTTGAGTCACGAGTTTTGCGTGCGTTATTTAGTAATACGTCCCGTTCCTCAAAATTACCGAGTACTAATTTGAGGATCCTTCTCTGTTGGGTTTCGCCTCCAACATACTTACCAAGTCTGATGACTTTCGAGATATGTACCCCTGGGACCTCCTCTGGCAGTATATTTCTGATGAGAGATCCCACTAACTGCAGGTCGTGGGCATGTCTCTTAGCGGGATCAGTGTCTTTCGATTCTGCCAAGTTCCAGATGATTACACTAGGCATCTGTTTAACTGCCTTAAACGTCGTGTTCACGGCCTTTGACCGTGATGTCAGATCCTGCCGGTTAGCTACCGGCTTCTTGCTATTAGCTTTCTTTATGACAGTGTCATGTGGGTCAAGCGAGTTACTCCCAACAACATTTGGTGAAGTTAGACTATTTCCATCCACAACAGGTCAGCTACAACGTAGGACCAGGCACATATATGCATCGGTCCAAGTTGCCATACCTCGTTAGCACAACAAGAGGAACACCGGATTCATAGTAGTTAATCTAGTGTTGGTAGTAGTATATAAATTATAGGTTGTATATAAGGATATAGTATAAGAAGGAAGAGAGATATGAAGCAATTTTAGTCTCAAGGTTTAAGGGAAGATAAAGAGTGTATACACCTACGCCATTGTGACCGATTCTGAGCCATGTCACCTAGAGTCTCCAACCATTGGTTACGATAGTCACGCGGACCCCAACCAGGTAGTCTGCATCTACCAACATGGCTCAGACTAGAAGTTAGTGACTTCAAGCACTGATACCATGTTTTGGTTTGGCCGCCCCTAACTCTCTTCCAACCGTCCCCAATACTAGTCATCATAGCGCGTCGTGGTAATCGGTGTTCAGGCATACGTAACACATGGCCCAACCATCTCAGTCGATGAAGATTCATCACCTCATCAACTGATTTACCATCGTTCCCTAATACCCTGCGTCTAACCTCACTATTACTTATCCGATGATTCCAGCAGATGCGACCAATATTTCTAAGGAATCTGTGGGCAAATACTAGTAAATTACGACTTCCTTCTACTCTTAATGACCATGTTTCACAGCCGTGAAGTAGAACAGAGCGAACTAGTGAACAGTATACTCGTCCTTTAGTTAATAGACGGATATCTCGTCTTCGCCATAGGTGACGTAAGTTGGCAAAAGCCAAACGAGCTTTTTGAATCCGTGCTGAGATTTCGTCTGACACCAACCCATTAGGGCTGATCAGACTTCCAAGATAAGTGAAGTTGTCGACGCGTTCGACTACTTCACTTCCTATCCTTAGTTCGAGTGTTGACGCAGGCCAGTCCTGGAGTAACAATTTACATTTGGATGGGGAGAAACGCATCCCAAACATCCTGGCATTATTACTGAGTTCCAACAGAAGACTCTGCATTTTGCCAGCGTCTTCACCAAACAGGACTATGTCATCTGCGTATTCTAAGTCGCTTAGTGGTCCCCCTGGTAGGAGATCAATTCCTGAAAATTCAGTCGATGAGAGTGTTATTTCCAGCAACAGGTCTATAATGAAGTTAAACAAAAATGGGGATAGTGGACAGCCTTGACGGACACCACCTGAGGTTGTAAACTCATATGACAGTTCGCCATCCAGAACAGTATTAATTATTTCCTTACATTTGGACTTGAGCGGAGTTGCCTGATGCTCAGGACGTGAGTCCAATTATTCCATCCAAATAAATGTAACATAGATATGTTTAATACAGTGGGTTGGTAGATTTGAAATCAGTAGTCGAAAAGTCTAATTAGAGTTCTGATTGTATGGCAAAGGCGCTCCACACACAAGTGTAACATCATTCAAGAAACTATCCTTCATATTTAACATAATGCTCCGGAACAGTTGTAGATTTTCATCTTCTTATTTAGATGCATCGATTAGCGGTATTCCAAAGATTTTCAGATCCACAATTTCCGCATCTTATTTGTACCGGAAATCTTTAATTAACTTAATCCGACTAAAAACATTCAGTGAGAGTAAAGGACTTTGAGTTTAAAATTCCGTAAAATTGTTTTTTAGATGAGCATATCACAAATCTAAACAAATAATGATGAAAAATGTATACTTTTCTGTACTTGGATCAATTATTCACCACAGAGCCTTCTCTTGAACAACGCCTTTATGACTTGAGTGAATAGTGTTTTGGGATAAACCGTCAGTTACAATGGTCCTAGGGCTTGACACTATATATTATTATAAGTCACCACACTTTATATTACTACAGTGGTAGTTATTATAGTCGCTTGGTTCTCATATTATACTCTCGTTTTTTAAACTATTAACCAATAAATATCCAAGCTTTTTGACTTGTATGTAACCGACTGTCCTCTTTTCAGTTTTAAAACTGAACAATTTGACTTGATGATTTCTAAATTAATTTCTCTAAATCTCCCACCCTTAAGGTTATATTAAATTCTAAATAATTGCAAACAGTAAAAGATGCCTACCAAGGTTATTTCTTACTGATAAACCAGGAACACATACTGTAACCAACCTGTTTTGAGTATTAAAACCAGTCACTATCCCATATTTTTTCGCATATAGATGAGAGTTGTTTTCAGATTTTGAAACTTTTTTCGCTCGAGTTTAGATAATGTTGGCCCCTGTGTTTACTGCCTTACAGATTACAAATTTTTCTGAGACCTGTTTTAAGTAGATGTTGACCCAAGGTTTCTCAAAATCAACGCGCATAGAATTCTTATTATGCGCTATATATCTAAACAGGAACAATTCTGGATCGCTTGCAGTTTTGGACGTGAAGGAGCTGCTAAGAGGTTGATCGAATCTGGTGTGGATGTTAACTGGAAGTCCTATGTGGTATACTCCTTCTTAATATATTATTTGTTGTCTAGTACGAATGCTATCCTATACATATCTGCTCCCAAGGGAAACCTAGTATTTTACAGATGGTTATTCGAGCAGGAGCAGATATTAATGCACTCGATTCAGTAAGTATATATACATTCACTTTGTGATGTATCTTCTAGGGAGGTAATACAGCTTTGCACCATGCTGCTATGTCAGGCAATGAAACCAATGCTCAAATGCTTTTATCTGCAGGCGTAAATGTTGATATAGTCAATAAAAATGGTTGGACACCGTTATTTAATGCTGTCTACTGGAATCATCCATCTATAGCTGAGATGCTACTGGCCAATGGTTCAAGTCCATTTTTGAAGAATAAGGTATTACATAATGTTAAAATGATAACTTTTTCTCATTTCGTGTTGGAGTTTCTACACATAACTAAGAGAGTTCATTTAACAAGTTGAGTCAATTTATTTCAAACCTGCTCAATAGCTCACTCTCAAATGTCTTCTAATGTATGATTCATTTTATATGAATTGTTTTTGAAATATGGTCTCCTGACGTAGTTCACTTTGCTCTTAAAACGACTCAGTTCGTTCGGGGATTTGTGGAAATTGTAATGTTTTCACTCCTAGTCATTATTTTGAAGAGGTGAACACGTGAGTAGAAGTATCCAAACGCTATATAACGTAGTCCTAATAATAGTTTAAAGGTAGTTCATTCAAATTTGTGCAAGTAATTGACTTCTTGGTACTTCACGCAACAAGTAGCGCGGTGTGCACATTATGAAAACACAACCGTAGCTGTTACCGTCATGTGATAGTCGGAATTATCTGTACTGGTGGTTCAATCTTGCTACACTGGCTGGAATTCTTAGTGAAATTTGGAAATGAAAACCGCACTCATTCCTTTAACAACATTCAGTATCAATTAGACCGTGCACTTTAGGGACTGTATTATCAGTTATACGTAACTAATTTTCAACTTTGTATTTTGAGTCGTCATGTTCTTACAACTTATATTAGTTAGGACATCATATATATTCACCCCGTCTTACTTTTCAGGGTGAACATTTGACTATATTTTAATTAAGAATGGATATTTTTTATCAAAATGATCATCAGCACTCCTTTAAATAATCTTTATTTTCAAAATCGAGTCGAACAGTTGTGCACAAGCCTAAAAACAAAATTCGTCTGTGAATATCTATCGAATTGTTTTTCATATGAACATCTATTTATATTCTGGCAGTAATAATAATAAACTAAACAACTACACTCACAGATGCCCTGGTACGGCTCTCGCTCTCGAGATGCTCTCACACGGCCATGTGCATACAACCACTGCCAGGGAAGTCCTACTCACTGCCTTCTCGTGGCGGGGGTGTTGTTCACGAAATTGGTAGAACGAAAAGTGGATGTCCTGCTCTTTAACCGGGTTGGTGGACACAGAGAGTTTACCTAGGGGAGTTGAAAAACCCTGTTTCCAAACCAATGGTGCATATGGTCTCCAGTATTCTAAGGGAACAAGTGGCGTATGAACCAATCGTTGGTCATCGGCTACTGTGGAACTGCATCTCCTGACGTTGCTCTACTGCCTTTTAGATTAGACCTTTAGGTCAAAGACTCCGGGTGTAGCCCCCTAAGAAAACCACCTGTTTCGTTTTGAGCACCCGGGCAGTACCCCAGCCCTCACACAAGTCGAATGATTTATGTGGCTCTTATCTATTTTGTGCCTTCTTGTACAAATGTTTACGTGTTTAAATAAGTAAATAAATCTAGTTGTGTTTCGAACAAAGTGAATTTTTTAAAAATTCCTCATCCATTGAAATATTTTAAACGTCTTAATAAGAACCTTTTTCACACTTGATTTTAAACTGGTTGTTTGTTTGTTTGTTTTTGACCCTGTAGAATGGAAGAATTCCTCTACATGAATTATGCCGAACTAAATCCAAAGATTCTGTTCGAATTCTTAAAAATTTCGAATTACTTCTTGAATGTATGAATAAATGTAAACGAGAAGCATTAGTCAGTATGACCGACTGCAAGCCTGATCCCATTACTACTACTTCTACTACTATTGATGACAATCTAAATTTGAATGAAACTACAATAGGTAATTGTGGAACTTCTATCGATTTGGATAATATGAGCTTAAGAGCATGTTCTCAAAATGATTTGGATTCAGAAGTAAGCAATTTTATAATGTAAATTAATATATTTAATGAAAAGAATAAAACATTTGTGAAGTGTCTCCAAATAAGCTTCAGCTTTAATAATGGACTGTCACCAACCAAAGAACCGTCGAAATATAAGAACCACCGAACGGCTGTTTTGTTTCAATTTTCGACCCGAAATTTCTCAGTCCTAACATATGTATGAATTTATGACTGGGGATTGCTAAGAAATCCCAAATTAGGACGAAATGATTGTATATTGGTTGATGAATTTCAGTGTCTCTTCAGTTAATGTTATTTCATAATGAGAAATAATTCAAGGAACATATTTCATTAGTCATTGTAAAATGAAAACATGATTTTGATAAAAATTTATTTTCAGGCTGATTTTACCCCACTTCTATTTGCCTGCTATCATGGACATTTGGAACTTGTCAAAGCATTGTTGAATCGTGGCGCTAATGTTTCCGTCACTGACAAGGTAACAAATATAATTCACAAAGTATTTGTTCGCTATAAAATTCCATAATTTTTATCTTGTATTTTTCATTTGAAAATTAGTCAACCTTACTTCGAAAACTAGTGGACATTAGAAATGATTAACAATACGCTTTTATTATTGTATATATCACAATTCCTCTTCAACTTTGCCATCGACGACATCCTAGAAACAGCTCTGATGGATGTAAGTAATGGCGGTGTGGATATGTTGCCTGGAGAACGACTTCTCGACCTTGAGTATGCGGATGATATTGTCTTACTGTGCGATAATGCTCAAGCCATGCAATCCGCACTTAATCAGTTGGCAATCAGTGTCCGCAGGTACGGCATGTGCTTTGCACCCTCCAAGTGCAAAGTACTCCTACAAGACTGGCAGGATTCTCATCCTGTACTCACCCTTGATGGTGAGCAGATTGAAGTAGTTGAGAAGTTCGTGTATCTAGGTAGCTACATAAGTGCTGGTGGTGGCGTGAGTGATGAGATTGATGCACGTATAATGAAAGCCAGAGCGGCTTATGCCAATCTGGGCCATCTTTGGCGCCTTTGTGATGTTAGTCTGACTGTAAAAGGTCGGATCTACAACGCGTCGGTGAGAGCAGTTTTGCTCTATGCTTGTGAAACCTGGCCTCTCCGAGTTGAGGATGTTAGACGTCTCTCTGTGTTCGATCATCGTTGTCTCCGAAGGATTGCTGACATCCAGTGGCAACACCATGTTAGTAATGCAGAGGTTCGGCATCGTGTGTTCGAACGCAGAGACGATAATTCAATTGGTGTCATCATCTTGAAACACCGACTTCGGTGACTTGGACATGTTTTACGAATGTCGTCCCAGAGACTTCCACGTCGTGCATTATTTGCCGACCCTGGGACTGGTTGGAAAAAGCGGAGAGGAGGTCAGTGTATGACATGGTGTCGTGGCATGAAAGAAAGCTGCAAAGGGCTAGCTTCTGTTGGTTCTTTACGAGTCCCTGGCTGGGGTCCGAGAGATGGTGCAACACGGTGGCTAGAGACGTTATCAGATATGGCTTAGAATAGAAGCCAGTGGCGATCCTGCTGCAACCTTCTTTTACTTTCTACATAAAGAATGGTTCTAACTTTCTTAACTGAAAGAGTCTTCTGGTTGTACATTTTAGTCCGCCTTATCTTTTCATCCCTTCTCTTCCTACTTTCATTATTTTGTGTGGCGCATATGTATCTGGTGCCCTTTTGTACCAATATATATGTGTTTAAATAAATAAATAAATTTGTAATATCCCAATGAGTAGAAAAATTAGATTTTCTGACTTTTCGTTACTCAGTGTAAGCCACTTCTTCAGAGAATAAATAACCAAATTAACATTAATCCAAGTTTAAATAGTACAACGGAACAATCAAAGAATATTATTACTTAGTTTCTGGTTAAAGTGTTTAAACAAGCTGATCAAATTGTTTTCACATTCTCTGAGTAAAGTTTATTTATTTATTTAAACACAAATATTGGCACAAGGGGGCAACAAATATATATGCACCATACAAATCATTTGATTTGTGTGACGGCTGTGATACTGCCCAGGTGCCCGAACTGAAGCAGGTGGTTTTCTTAGGAGGCCACACTTGGAGCCTTTGATCTAAAGATCTGATCCACAAGGCAGTGGAGCATCGTGAGGAGATGCAGTCCCATGGTAGCCTATGACCAACACTTGGTTCATACGCCATTTGTTCCATCATGATACTGGAGACCATGTGCACCATATATTTGGAATGAGGATTTTCCAACTCCCCTAGGTGGACTTTTCATGTCCACCAACCTGCTTAAAGTGCCAGACATTCGGTTTTCGTCCTCTCAATTTCGTAAACAACACCGGTGTCATGAGAAGGCAGTGAGTAGGACTTCCCTGGTAGAGGCTATATACGCGTGGCCATGTGAGGGCATTTCAAGGGGAAGAGCTGGCTGTTCCCACTCTCGGCCGTACCAGGGCTCTAAGTAAAGAAAACGATATTGTATTCCAGGTTGAGCAAGCCATCAAGCATTAAGTATTTACTTGTCCACTATTACAGAAGGGGAATAACAAAATGGTTATATTGAAAATGCATTATTATATGACTAATAAGTTTTCGATACCAAAATGTCTGAACTGATAATAGAATGATGATAGTCATGAATTGTAAAAGACGAAATATTTTGAACCCCGTGCTTTTGCAAATCACTTTCAAAATAACAATGGTTTTTTCTACTTATAATGCACAAAATATTCTCTTGTTCTGTTTTTACTTGCTAGAATCATTGGACAGCTTTACATTGGGCTGCACAACAGTGCCATGCTGATATTGTTGAAGTACTATTGGATTATGGTGCATCAATATATGCAAAAGATTTGGTATGTATAAATTATCACTATTTCTTGTCATCTTTGTGAATTATATTATTCTAAGTTTTTCTTTCGCAGTATGATTCATACACCTTTTTGGCGAGTACTACCAACGACCACAAGGTCTAAATCTAGAGTTTCCTCCTGACTGACCTCAGGGATGTAACAGTAAATCATACTAGGCACAATACTAAGTCATTTAGAATTCGATTCCCCACTTCGGACTAGACAAACGTACATTTGTCACAGCTCGGTGATTAATCAAAGGTCTAAATTCCCTACTCAAAAATTAGGAATTGAATGGCTAAATCACTCCTACACGTGATCATTGTTTGTAGAATAATGTTTTAAAAATAGTTTGTTATTTGCATTTAGATTTGTGAGAACTCATATAACTATGTAGCACTTTTGCATACATCTATTACGAAGTACATAATATTGCTTATTATTTATATGTTGATTCGCTAAACATTAATTAAATTCGTAAATGTTACTTATGACGGATTAATCTCAGTCAAGTTGCCATTGAGAAACAGAGAGCTCCGGATAGCTATTTTGTTGCAACAACAATAATGCCACGAGAAGGTAATGAGTAGGACTTCCTTGGCAGAGGCTGTATGCACGTAGCCTTATGAGAGCATTTCGAGAGGTAGAGCGGACTCTTCGCACTCTCGGCTGTACCAGGTCATTTGGGGGCTGATATAGATTAATGACAGATTTGTTTATGTTTCTGATATGTTTACTAAATCATCTTTTAGGCGTGTATTTTTTTTCTCCATTGCTTTACTTCTAAATAAAACATTAAAATATAGAGTCGTTAATCAGGCTTCTCTTCATAGTGATATATTTATATATATAATCTATTGAGTAACGAATTTTTAAGTAAATATGCAGAATGATAATGAGAGCTTGATAACTAAATCATGTGACACAGAGAACATGACACCACTGAAAGCATCCACCTGAGCTGCAACCCTGTATCATATACATATATATAATCTACCAAGTAACAGATTTTTAGATAAATGTTTTATTAACTTTTGCAAGTAATATACCTATTAAAATGATCACATTATCATTAGGTGGTGTGTATACTGACAATTTCTAAATTTAGTGTCTAATACATGCAATTATATATATATTAGTAGTAGTAAGTCAGTCAGTCACAACGTAGAACTTCGTACGTACGTACATCAGTTCGAGTTGCCATACCACATTAGCACAGAGATGCAGTTGTCGATTCAATTCCCATAGTGGTAGAAGTAGTAGGAGTATAATCAGAAATCCAAAAGATTAGGGTTTGAAGAAATTATTGAAGGAGTATAGTACAGTGAAATAAATTTGGAAAGAGAAAAGATAAATACATGAGGAATTCAGAAGATTAGAATTTGGTAGAACACAAAGAGTGGATGCACCTTCGCCATTGCAAACGATTTTGAGCCATGTCATTCAAGGTCTCTAACCATCGGTTGCTGTCATCTCGCGAATCCCAACCAGGTAGTCTACACCTACCAACATGGCCCAGTCCACTTGTCAGTGACTTCATTGATTTGTGCCACGTTCTGGTCTGGCCACCCCTAGCTTTCTTCCAACCTACTCCTACACCATGAAACATTGCACGTCGGGGCAGTCGGTGGTCGGGCATACGTAACACATGTCCCAGCCATCTCAACTGATGAAGTTTCACTACTTCATCAATCGATTTGCCATCCCTACCTAGCACTCGTTTCCTAACAACTGCATTACTTACCCGGTGGTCCCAGGATATACGAGTAATGCTTCGAAGACACCTATGATCGAACACTAGTAGTCTACGAATATCCTCTACTCTTATTGGCCATGTTTCACTGCCATAAAGTAGGACGGAGCGAACTGCTGCACAGTAAACCCGTCCTTTGGTTGCTAGTAGTAGTAATGTGTATTGTATACATGGAAAGTGTATTAGAATTAATTAATTTTTGATAAATTTTTCTATGTATTTATGTACAAACTTTATTTATCCTGATATGTTCTTCGTTATTATTATTATTATTATTTTATTACTTGGTATATTGAACCATTTATTATTATTTTATTATTTAAACACATGAATATGGGTACAAGGAAGTACCAGATACATATGTGCCACACAAATCTCATGTGTTTTGTGTAAGGGCCGTGATACTGCCCAGGTGCCCAAACCGAAACAGATGGTTTTCTTAGGGGGCCATACCTGGAGCCTTTGACGTAAAGATCTGATCCACAAGGCAGTGGAGCATCGTGAGGAGATGCAGTCCCATGGTAGCCGGTGACCAAAAATTGGTTCATACGCCTTTTGTTCCATCAGGATCCTGGAGACCATATACACCATTGGTTTGAAATCTGAATTTTCCAACTCCCCTAGGTGGATTTTCTGTGTCCACCAACCCGGTTAAAGTGCCGGACATTCGCTTTTCGTCGTGTCAATTTCGTAAACAACACCGGTGTCATGAGAAGGCAGTGAGTAGGACTTCCCTGGCAGTGGCTTTGTACACATGGGCACCTGGATGAGAGCATTTCGAGAGAGAGCCGACTCTCCCCATCTTCGGTCGTGGCATTTGGGGGTCATCGATGTTTAGCAGTATATTTTTTAGATTGTTGATTGACCAAGAGCGTGATTAGAAATTGGATACAATAAGTCAAGAGGAAATGCCATGTGCCAATCAAAAATCTCCCGGTGATAAGTGCATGTTATTGGCCAAGAATTGGTTTCATTTTCTAAGCCTATATATATATGATGACATCATTTGTTCGTAGTTTTTTTTTAAGAAGTGAAAGTAGAAAACCATTTATCTCATATTTCATTTTCCTCTTCTACTTGCCTTTTTTCTTTGCCTTTAGCATGGTTGTATGCCATATGCAGTAACTAGTGATATAGGTTTACAAGAATGTCTTTCACCTGATATTGACTATCCAAATATTATATCCAATGGACATGTAACCACTGACGATGAAGATGACGATGACAAGGACAATCATAATGATGATGTCAACGACGTAGACAGAAAAGAAGGAGCATCTAAAATAAAACCAAGTCCTCTTCAACTACAATTATTCCAATCTTATCCACAAATAAATATGAATGATTCATTAGATTCATCTGTGATAACTAAACAACTTAATTTAATGGAATTATCTTTAGTTGAAAATCATATGGAAATATCCACTGCTGAAATAGCATCACCTGAAGTTTATATTAGCACTGTATAATTATCAGCAATAACAAGTGAAGAAAAAACAAAATTCTAGCTTCTTTTTGACTTTGTTCTTTCTTTCTCTCTTATACAGATTACTTGTATTGTTGCCTTAAAGAATGTCAACTTGTTCTCTATTCTATTATTTATTTTTAAAAAAATGGCATTATACATGACTGAACTATTATCAAATTTGTATCTATAATGCATGTCTTAAACAATATCATAATGTTTGCATGTATATATCTTGCTTGAACTGCACATACAAATAATACCCCCATATTATTAAGTCAGTCAGTCAGCTACAACGTAGGACCAGGCACATTATGCATCGGTCCAAGTTGCCATACCTTGTTGGCACATCGGATTCATAGAAGTAGTTAATTTAGTGGTGGTAGTATATAAAAGATAAGTTGTATATAAGGATATAGTATAGGAGGGAAGACAGGTGTGAAACAATTTTAATCTCAAGATTATTATTATGTTTGGATAGTCATATTGAATGATCATTGAGGAATCTTAGTTACACTTATTGTCAAACTGTCAGGTTTCTTCTTTTTTTATACTTAGATGGATAGTCTAGCTTAGAGCTTTAATATTTGTTGTGTCTGCTATGTTATTTTGAGTATTATTAGCTTTTCACGTTGAAAACACATGCGATTGGCATAAAATTCAAATGAATCTGATGTAAATTGAATTAAAATGATGATGTTTACTAATAACAGTATATTGATAGTTTATGAGAAGAGAATACATTGATGCATTACTTTTTTTCATTCTTCTTAAATCTTTCCTCCTTTACAATATGTCGCATACTTTCTTCACATGTCCTGCATATTTTGTTTGTCTATTTTAATTTAAAATAATGTTTTGATTTGACATTTTGATGTAATGTTTTTGTCTCATGTATAGTTAAGCATAAGATTGCCAAGTTTTCACTTTCATTGAATAAGTGCTACTTGGATTGTTAAATGATGTGTGTTACTTCGATTTTCATTCATTCTTAATTGAAGTTAGGTTCTATATTTCTTATGATGGAAGCCAATTGAAGTTGATTAAGTTCCTGACCACTAAGTATACCTGTTCCTTCCTGTCGGTAGATGAATCTATGATGTGTCACATAAACTAACGTTCAGTTCAACATCTACTGAGTACTTGGAAATGTTTGAGAATAGCATTGATAATTGCTGATATTAATGAGAGAAGCCTCGTAATATTCGTAGTTTATTTATCTCAAACTCATGCGTGCGTTGATTATGCGGAGTATTAAGGGAGAGCAAATAAAGTTTTACTGAATATGAACCTAACACATCAAGATTCGGTCTTAATAGAGAATAAAATATCTTTTACAAAATTTCTTATTTCCGATGGACAAAACTTTCATTCAGTCTGATAAGTAGGTCTCTTTTATGCCGTCAAATAGCTAAGGGTATAATGGATGCATGCTGGAGAGTAAGACACATTTGTAGTGAGCGACTTCGAAAGCCTGAGAACTTAGACCATTCGAAAGGATCATGCATCTGTATTTGAGTTTCTGTCTAGAATACTACATTTAAGCAGTGGCCTTATAAAAAGAAAAGCTCCAATAATGACAGTTATTTTCCGCCAAGATAAGCATCAAAATAGAGTTAAATTATACACTCATAGTCCTATCTACATGTTACATATGTTTTTATTTGAATGCTAAGCTACCTTCAAAGGATATTAGTTGATATTATTGTCAATTTTTATAGTAAAAGTACCAATTTTGGTATAGAGTTATTTCATGGTAATTTTGGACCAGATAGCCATCCTTTTCATATTCAATCCTAACTGGGTGGGTCTAACGATTTTTTACTCTAATGTGTAAGAATCTGTTAAACTACCCAAGGTCATTAGCGATATAATACATCACAGTTATATTTTAATGATCCTTTCATATTGTACTGGTCAAATGAACATAGCTTCTATCGTAATTGGGTATAGTTTATTATTTTAACATTATCTTCGAATTCGTTTCTGGACAGTAAAATAGCTTTGAAGATGACCGGACTGTTAGTGGGATATAGATTGGATTAAGCATGTTTTATGCATGATGTTGTTGCTGCGCGCTGATTGATTAATTTTTAAACCGATCAGCCCGGGCATATTATTGCAGAAAAATCTATAGGCTTCTTATGTATATACTATAAATATATGAACATTATTTAAACTATTGATTGCTGTTCACTTATCATTATTATTTTGAATACAATTTCATTCCTGTTCAATGTGTTCTGATTTTGGGGTTTTGTCGAGTGTCATCGTATAAGAATACTAAGCAATAGGAATAGCTGGGTCGTTTATAGAAGCAAAACACAATAATAACAGTGGTGACGAGGAAAATTCATTCACAATGCCTATATCAGATGACCAGCTCAGCCGAATACTACAACAACAGCAAGCACAACTTGATGCACAAATGCGGTTGTTGGAGACTCTGATGCAACAGTTTAGCATCCAAAACTCGAGTTCACAAGCTGTTTCAAGTACTTCTTGTGATGCAGTTGCTAGCAGAATTCATATATGATCCCGAAAGTTAAAATACTTTTCTCACGTGGGTCAAGCGTTGGGAAGATGCATTTAGAATAGAATTCTGTCAACAAGATGACGCATGGAAGACTCGGTTGTTGATGCGTAAGTTGGGAAGCAATGAGCATGCACGTTATGCTGATCATATATTGCCAAAGTTACCTCGAGAGCTCAGTTTCGAGATATTCGGCGAATCTTACTCATTGTTTAGTATTAGATATCAGTGTATGAATTTGGTGAAACGTGAAGCCGATGAATATGGTGCCCTAGCAGACGTCGTCAACAGAGAGTGTGAACGGTTCCAATTACGCTCGTTGACAGAAGATCAATTTAAATGCCTTGTATTCATCAAATCTCTGCAGTCACCACAAGATGCTGAAATTAGAACCAGACTTCTGACTTGTTTGGATCAAGACCCAAACGTCACACTCAAGACATTGACAAATGAGTGTAAACGACTACAAAACATCAGACACGACAATCAGTTAATTGAACAGGTAAATTCTAATTTAACCTGCAGTAGTGTAAATGCTATGACTAGGTTAAAAATTCAGAAACCGAAAACAAGTGGTAGCAAACCAACGACTGCATGTTGGTTATGTGGTGATTGGCATTATGTACGGTTCTGTACATTTAAGAAGCATAAATGTCAGGTGTGCAACAGAGGTGGACATAAAGAAGGCCATTGTCCGCCGAATCGTACCTCCCAGCCCAAGAAGAAGTATAAACGTCTTCCACGTGTGGTGAAATCAGCTGAGTCTAAATCTCTTTCTCTGGTAGCAGCTTTTCAAACAGACTATGACATTCGGAGAAAGTATGTTACGATCCAGATTAATGGTATAGCGGCTCGTCTTCAAATTGATACAGCATCCGATATTACTCTAGTGTCTAGAGAGACGTATAACTTGCTGGTAAAGCCGCCAATGAAGCCATCGAAAAAAACGGCTAAAAATGCATCTTGAGGCATACTGAAACTAGTTGGCGAATTACAGTGTGAATTTTCCTTCAATGGAAATAACTGTAAAGGGGTATGTTATCTAACAGAACGACCGAACCTTGATCTACTTGGTCTAGATATGTTAGAAAAGCTTGGATTAATGGATATACCCATCAACAGCGTGTGTAACGTGTCGTGTCCATCATTAGACACCACCTCATATGCAAAAAAGACAAGTGAAAAGGTTCCAGAAATACGGAGTGTAGCAGCAGCGGCAATTTGAAACACTCCAGTGTCGTCAGAAAATACTTTTCAGGATTTTGTCAGCAGAACGGAATCAGGCACATCCGAACACCTCCATCCCATCCGCAATCGAATGGCCAGGTAGAACGTTTTGTTGGTACGTTCAAAAATGCCCTAAAAAATCAAGAGGGGAGGGGGACACCGAAGAGATCTTAGAGAGGTTCTTGTTTATGCACCGTTCGACACCGAACCCTCAGACAACAAATGGAGTCTCCCCAGCGGAAGCGTTACTTGGCAGAAAAATACGTACACATTTTGACAGCATTCGTCCGACTTCAGCTCTTAAGCCTCAATGAAACGTGATGATGGAGAAACAGTACAATTGTCATCATGGGGGCACAAAAACGATTGTTCAGTGTGGGTCAAAAGGTACTTGCTATGGACTATCGAGGAAAACATCCTACATGGATAGCTGGTCGGATCGTGCAAAAGAAAGGAAACGTGGTTTACGAGGTGTCCGTTGGTTCAGAAATCTGGGTGTGTCATGCTAACCAACTGAAATCAACCTCGATCTCCAACAACGAAATGCAGCATAGATTACCTCTTGATGTTCTGCTAGACACCTTTGAGATCAAAACACCTGAAACAGACAGGATAGTCAAGGTGCAAACGATGGATGATACAACGTCCTTATTACCTAGAAGGTGATTAACCGGAAGCACAAACCAGTAAAGCGGTTGAAGTTGGACCCTAACACCAGATCCTACGAATCTGCTTAAGGGGGAGGTGTTAATGGGATATAGATTGGATTAAGCATGTTTTATGCATGATGTTGTTGCTGCGCGCTGATTGGTTAATTTTTAAACCGATCAGCCCGGGCATATTATTGCAGAAAAATCTATAGGCTTCTTATGTATATACTATAAATATATGAACATTATTTAAACTATTGATTGCTGTTCACTTATCATTATTATTTTGAATACAATTTCATTCCTGTTCAATGTGTTCTGATTTTGGGGTTTTGTCGAGTGTCATCGTATAAGAATACTAAGCAATAGGAATAGCTGGGTCGTTTATAGAAGCAAAACACAATTATAACACCGGACAATTACCATTTTTATTTGACGAGATATGCCGGAAATCTAATATTTTAGAATTTGCCATAGCTCTTAAAAAAGACGCAACAACATTATTAATATATTCCTTGATCGCTTTCAAATGATAGTCTCCGAGACGCATATTCATATTTTTCTCAGCAGTAGAATACGGATCAAAATCTTAAGGATGAAAAGCTGTTCTTAGTGAACTCATCCACAGATACTTCACAATCATTAGAAGTAGTAGGCTCTCTACGGCTTGTGATGTGAACAGCGAATTGGGAATTCGAGTGCTAAATCGGGGTTGGAATAAAGTGATTAGTGTTCCAGCTGTCTTTGTCTTTTCTCTCGCGCGTGCTTGTCAACCAATCGGGGATAGAATAGTTTTCGTCTCTCTACCCCCACTTCAAACTCACGCATACTAGCCTCAAGGTTAAGCCGGTCAGCCTATCGGGTCAAGATCTTAATCTACATTAAACAAGTCATACTCGGCACTAAAGTGGGTAGACAGATTCAAGGACGTAACAGCTTGTTTGTGTAGTTTACTTGCATGTGGTCTTCTGTTATCAAGTTAGTCTGTTCCATTTCGAATACGATGCACGAATAAACGTGGAAAACTACTTTCAATGCGTAAAATTAGCCGCTAAAGTGGAAGTCTTCCTCTTTCTTGGAAAAATCATAAGCATGTATTTCAAGCACATGCTGAAGATGTGGTCCAGAAAGACAACAAAAATTGACAAGCAAGTTATTCGAGAAAACAACACCACCATTGTCTTCCTGATTTAAAAGACATTCTTATGTTTTGTCCGACATAATTAAATTTGCTATCCCACGCTTTTATGAGAGTATTAGCTACAAAGGATAAGTCTGAAGTTACAAATTGGGGGCTGGAATAACAGCTATTTAAAAGTGGGTAGTTTAGCTATCCAATTAGTTGTAGCATTGCTGGAAACCAGTTTACCCGTCTGGATTATCTCTTGCCGAACACCGTGGTCTGACTCAGTTTTTTTAATCTCTATTCATTTATTCCAAAATACCTCTTGATGGTCTGAGCGGTAATTATGTAAAGTGGTTGAAGATACTAAGTAAAATGGTCAATAATCGGTCGCAGATGCACTAACATTTTATATTCCTCTACGCATTATGTTCTGATTTTTTT